TATAATACAAATATAAGTTTTTATGACTTATGCTTGTTGTTACAGTCATTTCCGTAGAAGATTTCTGTGTATTAAATCCATTCAGTGAACTCCCCGCGATTTAAAAATATCCCATTTATTTTTATTATTAATTAATGTACATAATGTTTAAAAACTACATCTGATATAACTTAAACGGGTTAACCTGAAAGTAAGCAAATATTTTACTTTCTCACTGGAATGTCCACAGTTAACATTGACGCTATAAAATGAAATAGAACGAAGCTTAGGTACATATAAGATGGCGTTTTATTCCACAGACCACGGAGTTATAACCTCCCTTGTGACGTAGGTAAACGATTGTGATATGTATGAAGTTCTATATAAAAACATTTTACGTCCTTCAGTTTTTGTTGATTCAATGTAGCGACTGTTTTAAGTGTGGCAGAGCCATGCTTCGGCACGGATGAGCTGGCTCGACAGGAGTAATACCACGGTCTCACAGAAAACCGACGTGAAGCAACACTTGCGTTGTTTCGTCGTGTGAGTGAGGTTACCGGAGGCCCAATTACTTCCCTCCCTGATCTTAATAATCTCTAAATCTCCAACAATCCACAAACTGCTAATCCCCAAAAGGCCGGTAATGCACTTGTAACGCCTCTGGTGTTCCAGGTGTCCATTGGCGATGCCAACTGCTTACCGTGAGGTGATCAGTCTGCTCGTTTATGGGATTATCCCATAAAAAAATAAATACCTAGTATTTCTCTGATTAAAGCTAGACGCCTTCTTATTTAGTATATACTGAATACTTCTTATTGACTCAGTATAGTCAGTAACCACTCTTCGGTAACACAAAACAATCAATCAACAACACAAGACCAAAATAACACAGCACACAACGTATCGAATCTCAATGTAAATCCCGGCCATACGTCATGAGGCCCATCCCATCTAATTACTTAAACCATGGGCCTAATTAGTACTAGTGGTCAAACAGTGTCCCATAATTATAACCTCAAACAACAAGGGGAAGCGTGTCACATATCACTCCACAATATTGGCTGGTGGTAATGAAGATAGGCCTACTAATCTACGAAACGTCGAGCGGTGAGTACTACCTAGTATATAGTGCTGAGATACGTAAGGACGTATGACGATAAATGTCCGGAATTAATACGGCAATGTTTTCTTCATTTCTGCTTTTATGCTATGTCTCCAATGATTAGTTTCTAATAATGAGTTTGTGATTGGATGGCATCTGAAATTAACTCGTCGAGTACCGGTTTTGTAGACACAATTATAGAACAATAGGTTGCGGTCACCGGTGACCGCTTGGTATTTGACAGTTTAAACTGTGACCGCAAACTATCTATATATATAAAATTCAAAGGTGATTGACTGACTGACTGATTGACTGACTGACATAGTGATCTATCAACGCACAGCCCAAACCGCTGAACAGATTGGGCTAAAATTTGGCATACAGATAGATGTTATGACGTAGGCATTCGCTAAGAAAGGATTTTGATAATTTCCACCCCCAAGGGGGTAAAAAAGGGGATGAAAGTTTGTATGAGACTTTGTCAGTTTTAAACCGATCGGGTTGTAATTTGGCATGCAGATAGATGTTATGACGTAAGCATCCGATGTGAAAGGATTTTGATAATTTCCACCCCCAATGGGGGTAAAATAGGGGATGAAAGTTTGTATGAGACTTTGTCAGTTTTAAACCGATCGGGTTGTAATTTGGCATGCAGATAGATGTTATGACGTAAGCATCCGATATGAAAGGATTTTGATAATTTCCACCCCCAAGTGGGTAAAATAGGGGATGAAAGTTTATATGAGCCTTTGTCAGTTTTAAACCGATCGGGTTGTAATTTGGCATGCAGATAGATGTTACGACGTAGGCGTCCGCTATGAAAGGATTTTGATAATTTCCACCCCCAAGTGGGTAAAATAGGGGATGAAAGTTTATATGAGCCTTTGTCAGTTTTAAACCGATCGGGTTGTAATTTGGCATGCAGATAGATGTTACGACGTAGGCGTCCGCTGTGAAAGGATTTTGATAATTTCCACCCCCAAGTGGGTAAAATAGGGGATGAAAGTTTATATGAGCCTTTGTCAGTTTTAAACCGATCAGGTTGAAATTTGGCATGCAGATAGATGTTATGACGTAAGCATCCGCTTTGAAAGGATTTTGATAATTTCCACCAAGGGGGTAAAATAGGGGATGAACGTTTGTGTGAGGCTTTGTCAGTTTTACACCGATCGGGTTGAAATTCGGCGTGCAGATGGATATTATGACGTAAACGTCCCTTTAGAAAGGTTTTTGAACATTCTCACCCCAAAGTATGATACTTTGCCAGTTTTAAATTGATCGGGCTGAGACTTTGCATGCATAAAGTTACTATGACATAGGTATCTCTTTAGAAAGGATTTTGATAAATTCCACCCCTAAGGGGATAAAATAGGGAATGAGAGTTTGTATAAATCTTCTTAGCCGTTGAATTTAGAATCATTGAATCTTTTTGAATTACATTCGGTAAAACGATGATTTGGGACCTGGGTAACGTATGATAGTTTTTTCACAGATGTCTCACGAGAACGGGAACTATGCGTCAATGCCCCAGGACTCTCTAACTCTTAACCACTGAACTTATTCTAGAGAGATTCGGTACAACAATAGTCGATAGAATAGTTTTTATTACTCAAACCTTACGTGATCGGGCACTGTACTGGTAAGATCCCTGCGGGATTATTTATTTATTGAAACTACGATAAATCATTTCAAAATAGGTAAATCTTACTTGGGCACTGAATTGATTCTGGTTAATTCTGTCAGAAGTCATTAATATACGCGGACGAAGTCGCGGGCAACAGCTATCTACACATATAATAAATCGTAGAAAAGTCAAAACTGTACATTGAATATTTTTTAAAAGAATATTTGAAGCGTGATCTCTAATCGATACCGAAGCCAATAATGTGGTTTTTAGAATTTTTGTCTGTTTGTCTGTATGTATGGCCGTGATGATCTCAAAAAGTACTGCACTACTATTTCAAATTTTGCATGAATATTACTAACAAGTCTGGTAAACATATAGGCTACATATTATCACGCTATCATCTACGGGACTGAATCAATTCTGACGACATCCATTACCGTAGAACCCATGATAAAAACGAATTCAAAAGCCTAAATTCTGCCAGAAGTCATTATTCTACGCGGACGAAGTCGCGGGCAACAGCTAGTTGTTCTATAATTGTGTCTACAAAACCGGTACTCGACGAGTTAATATAAAGAAGAAATATTATACCAAACCCTAAAAATCTGTTATCATAAGTCTGCAGATAGAAGGATAATATCTTTCTACTTGTTGTGTCAATTGCATTTTTTATAATGTTTTCTGTACTTAAGTGCGTGACTTTGAATTAGTGAATTTAGGTGCGTCTCGTACGAATTTATGTGACAAAATTGTTTAGTCTTTGAAGTGAATTAAAACAAAGTAAAGTTTCATGAACAGATCACTTTTAAATACATAGATGCAACTAATATTTATTATTCGAAAAGCAACAACATTGTAAGTCCTATCGGTTCTCAGTGACATTATTACGAGTTCATTAGTTAAACATTGATCGTATGGCTTAGTGCAATGTGCGAGCGACACTGAGCTCCCACTAATTAAATAGTAAGCAAGCCGTTAACATTTATTTACTAACATTACCATCGCGTGTTTATTTCTTCGTTCGTTTATACTTCGATACGTTATGTCGTAAAATAGTAATAGTATAAATTGTAGGCTGTGCGACATCGCCGCGACAGCGCACGCTGCTCATGAGGAAGAACCCCTCTGTGGTTCGCAACTTATAGAGCCTTTCTCAGTTTTTGCCACGTGAGTAACCTGCTACTTTTAGTTAATGTCGTAAAATGTTTTCAAGATATTTTAAACTCAGTCAAACAAATACATACTAGCCGAAAATGACGAAATGAATGAATTTCACGGCCAAAAGCGGATTATTCGTCAGAATAATCCTTAATTCTAGAACATTCCCCAACCGTCCACCTACAAAGCGTTGCTTTGAGCTAAAGCTTCATTCATTTGCTAGTTAACTGAATCAAACTAGTTTGCACTTCATTCGACCTCTGTCTACGAAAATGTATTAAAATGGGAGTTTTTTCTTTTCGATATTAATATTATATGTTAACGTGTAACTATCAATTCCAGGAAGACTCCTATTCTAAAATAACGATACTAAACATAGGAAAATCTTTATCGAAGAGAAGCAATATATAGAAAGAGAATGTTGGAGATCCTATTACCATTCTAATTACTTAAGAAAAGTTCAATAATCACAGTTGTTCAAAAATTCTAAAGCATCACCAATCTTCCCCGGTGACTCCAAGAACTTCGAAAATGTCTCCACAGCTAATGAGCTACAAAGTTTGTCACGTCACGTACTTTACAGACACACCTACTTCCGATACTTACCCCTCACGGAATTATAACATTTATACTTATAGATATACGTAATAATATTGATTGTTGTAACCGCAATACTTTAATCACTTTTCTCCTTAGAATAAGCCTTATATCAACTAAGCACTTCCCGATGGATTTAATCGATAACTGAAAATCTGTTATAATAGGCTGGTAGAGTAGGTTAGTAACAGCTACAGACCCATTAGGACACTTTGGAAGCATTGAAAAGTTTAAAATGACTTATATATCTTTTTGATACAAATTTTTAATAAAATTACTGAAAAAGCAATGGATTCTGTGGCAATGGTTCATATTTTTAAGTTATAAATGTTTTTCATAATGTTTCTACGTAATAATTCAGTCAAATTCATTTAACTAATCAAATTATAGTGATCATTCTACTCTAAAAGTTACACATATCATTCAATGATGAACAGAGTAATAAAACGAAATCTTATTTCGTTAAAACTATTTTCTCAATAAAACACGTTTATTACTTTATTTCAATCTATTTACGAAAGCCATCTTTCTTTGCAGGGCTGCCAACTGTAATCGGATTGGCGCGTGGAGTCCGCTCAGGTAGTACCAACATTTTAACTAACTAAGCCACGTCCTCTGAAGTTAGTCGGTTCGGTGAACACCGAGCAGAGACTAGCAACAGGTGTCTCTCATTCTTCCTTGTATGATACTGTGATGGGTTAAAATAAATGTTTATTATGTCTATGCACAAAATAAATTGTTATTAGTCATTTTAATTGGTACTATAAAAATTAATAACTTTTCACACAATACACATAATCATTTGTAGCACAAAAAATGGCGGCAAATTGTCACCTGTCAGTCATTCCATTCTCATAATTCACCCTTGTGTATTTATTCTCATTGAACTAAAAGAATGTCAGAAAATTCATTTAATATTTGATTTACCTGCATAAAGCGTGCTGACCAAGCAAACAGAACTCCAAGAAAAACAAACAAAGTGCGGTTTGATCTGACGTTTCATACTAACGTATTGGTCTACAAAGTGCACCAGTATATAAATGCTAAGTAAACTCTCTTTGACTGCTACAAACAGCGCAATGGATACTGGAAAAGCCGGTATTTCTCTCCAATTCCGTAGAAATATGGAACAATAACCATGAAAGGTTCTTTAGTACCGCAGAACTGCATTTGTAAGAAGTTTATTTATTTTCATTGTTTGTTTGTTTAAGTCGGGAGTTTTCTCTACAATCTTCAATTACACCTAAAGCATTTTCCAGTGGCTGTATAAACATTGTTCCTTTGCGATCTACAACGATTTATTTTCATGTTGAATAGAAAATAGTTTATAAATAATGACATCGTCGCGTCACTTGATATTTTCGCGCGAAACGCCATCTTTCTTCCCGCGTAAATAGTTTCTCGTGAATAAAGTGAAGAGAAAATTAGATAAATTACAGTCTTTGTAGTCGTAAAATTAGATTGAAGATTATTAGCCATTGTGTTTGATATTTTGCGTTTATTAGTAGGTACCTACTTAGTGGGACAATCATTTTCTCTTTACGGACAACGAAATCTGGAAAGATATTTATCAAGACTTATTAATAGCATTTCCTACTAAAGTAATGAAAATTTATTGTTTAAATAAACAAAATATTTTTAGAATATAATTTAACGTTATATTTCAATATTTTTGGTCGCGAGAACCAAATCAACTTTGTCGTTTTTACATCAAATAGTGATTTATACAAATACTTTTCTACCTTTACCACCACTTTCAATTACCATACGATAAGTACGGGCATAATTCGCAACATGCTCCCACATCATGTTCCTTGACCAATCGATCAATTACTTGATTGATGGCTGACCCCTCTTAGTTCTAATGTCAGCCAATCGATATCAATCAGACATCTGGATCGATATGATCAATCAGTTATTAATTTGCTCAAATCGGTACTTTGTAACTTCCCTGTAACATATTGTTTAGTAAAGTTTTAGAAGTACATGTAACTAAGGAACCTTAGTTTTGTGTTGGGAATATGTTACAATAAATATTCTAGTTCGTGTATATTTGTTGTTGCTGACCTTTTTCCAACTGAGTCGAGTTCTGTAGTCTGTATAACTCGTAAACTATATTCGTCTGAATGTCAAAAAGTACTTATAGAAACAATTTGAATGCCAGATGATAATAAAAAGTTTAGAATGAAATAGCGTTTCATAAATATAAAACGTCTATAGATAGTGGGTTCTACGAGAATTTCTCATTAATATTTAAGTGTAAGTTTTATTAACAGTTTAATCTATAACCATCCTATTATTATGCCAAGTTTATCTAATATTAGTTCATGTACACGCAGTTTTTTTTTCATTCCTCCCATGTCAGAGAGTGTGAGATCGTCTCTTGTATGCATCTTTCCTTTAAGCATTTTTAGTAGTTTATTTCCACAAAACAGCATGGATTGACTTCGAAGACAAACATGAAGGCGTTCAAACGCCGTTTTCAACGCAGAAGCAAATCTTCGTTTTCAAAGTTATTTATCCTATTTGTTAATTTCTCAACAACATGTATTCACTCTTACTGTCTATTATATTAAACTTAATATGAAACAGTACTAACTAAGACCAACCAAGATTCCTCTCTAGTCAAAAACTCATCAAAGAAAATACAAAACAGTTCAAAACAATGAACGTAACATTACCCAACGCAGTGGTTCATTGTCTGCTCATAAAGTTAAAGTTATTATCTACTTTGATGTGATGTTAGTAAAGTTCAAACTTCATATTGTGAATCCCCAGTTCCCTTTGGCTAACCTGCAAGTAATTATACTGTCTGAGCTTATCTGATAATTTCTCTAGGAAACTAGTTGAGGTGAATTCATATACTGTTCCAGGATATTCCATGTATGTTATTATGAGTGTGTTAACGTTAATTAACAACAAGGAAAGAAGTTCTTCTAATATTAAACGTGGGGAAGCCAAGATTCGGTACAAAAAGGCTTGGTCAACTTGAGTAATACCACAGACTCTTCACATCAAATGGGCGTGAAACAACGCTTGTGCATTTGTGGTTTGCCATGTAAGTAAGAGTACTATAGGTTAATCCTTGTGTCATCAGCTAAAAGTAAATGGTTTAAGTAAAATAGTAACCCAAAAGTTTAATTAAAAGTGACCAAATAAAGGAACTTTACTATGATCTCACTAGTCCTAAACTTGACTGTTTTCCTCATAATCCTAACCGCAATATGTCGTATACTGACAATGTGGGTCCCAACCACACCGCGGTCTCATAACACTCACTTATAATTTCTAGGACATATCTAATGCGGTCTGGTTAGGATAGGGTTGCCACTAGTCTTATATGAAGATAGTTGTTGCTATGTACTATTTAAAGTAAAGTCAAACAAAAAGTTTTATTTTATTTTATATTTATTTTTTTTATTTAGAAAACCAACAGCGTTACATATAATTTACAATAGTTTGCGTGAATTACAGAGATTAAGGCTAATAATAGGTTTCCCTAATTAAAACATGCGAACGTACTTAAGTTACTTTATAAACTCGTAAGACTCGCTATTTATTTATTTTTACGATTTGTTACGGTTCTCAACGATAATCATCATTATGAAAAGCCAGTTAAAATCTGGTAAATTACGGGTGTCATCTACATTAGAGGGATTGACATAATGTGTTTCGTTGTGTAAATGAAGTTACCGGAGTTCCAATTACTCCCCCCACCCATCTTCCCCAATCGCCCAATCCCTGAATCCCCAACAATCCTCAAATTCCTAATCCTCGAAAAGCCGGTAACGCACTTGTAAGGCCTCTGGTGTTCCAGGTGTCCATGGGCGACGCCGATCACTTACAATCAGGTGATTCGTCTCCTTATTTGCGCTTTGCAGTGTTGTTACCTGGTCTCTGTCAAATGTATAATCCCTTACACATTCATAATTAAAACAAAGAGCAACACAAAATATAAAGGCTTCATTCTTAAAACATTACACCCATTATTTACAAAGGCGCTGACCTCAAGCAAAGTGCACTAGAAACATATGATACGGTAACTACAATACAGTAGTGGGCTGAAAGTTTCACGGTCCGTGGTTAGGAACTTTCCATGCAAGGAGAATGTCAATAATGCCGCATCTAACTTTAATAACTCCTCGACGTATTTACATGCGACATTTTGATACCGTGCTCACGTTATATTCGGTGGAACTGTTCAGAAACTACTTCGTGTATTAACATCTTGAGGTATCAGTAAAAAGCGGTGAATAGAACACGGTACTTACCAACTAGTCAAATTCAATACTTTGTATACAGATGTGTCTGAACCTCAGCAAGAATCACATAAATGAATAACAAGAATCGCTTTTCATTAACAAAGAGCACTAAAATGCTTTTAATAAAGAAAATTAACTTCCATATACGTAGGTGCTCTCATCAATGCAAGCCCAATTAAATTTTTGCACTATAAAATAAAATCATTTGGAGTTGGCTCCAAATAAGCTTCTGCCATCAAAGCAATCACACAGCCAATAAATTTAATAAATGTCTTTATGAAGCTTTTACAATTCTTTCTTTCGCACACATGCACATCTGTGTGTGTTCGTTTTCTTTCTTCGTGTGTTGAAATTGATGATAGCATGTTTTTTTTTATATTTGATGGGCCGACGGTTGATCACTATCTCGCCTGGTGGTAAGCGAAGATGCGGTTTACGGTGGAGCACATCGTCCCATAAGCAACCTATTCACTCAAGCTTTGAAGACACCCAGGTTACACCCTTCAGGAAATACAGAATCTGGCAAAGAATTCCACTCCTTAGCAGTACGCAAAAGGAAGCTTGAACGAAGCGCTTCGTGCGTGTGGGTGGGACATCTACCATGAATCGGTGACGCTTCGCCGATTGTCCTGTGGTACTGTGATAGAAACGACTAGGGGAAATCAAGTTGTCCAATTCCCCCGCACTCTCACTGAAATGTATACGGTAGAAAACCGAAAAGCTTGCAACCTTACGCCTGTCTTCGAGGCTTTAAAGTTTTTCATTATTTCTTAAAAGATTCACATCACCGTTGATTATCCTCTTGGCACGTCTCGCAATGTGCTCTAAAATAACCAATAGTCACTTTATTTTTAATAGTCATCTTGAGCTTCTTGGCGTAACTGACATTCAACTTTGGGTCTTATATAGAAACAGAAGCTCAACTGGCTAGTAGGAAGTTGGGTATCCTATGGAGAGTGAGACGGTACTTCACGCCAAAATAATTACTGAACCTGTACCAAGCACAGGTTCGGTCCTGTATGGAGTACCTACTGCTCTCATCTTTGAAACGGGTCGGCTAAATATCAGCTGGACGCGTTGGCTTTATTTACACTAAAAAATAGGTACCTACCTACCTTTTTATATTACGGGGCGAAACCTTCAAGAGTCGTCTAACTTTTTGAGGACAAAGACTAGGGATTTTGGGATTACTTACCTCCCTACAACCGCCCCGTAACCCCCCATCATCACCTATAAGGGCACAAAGTCCTAACATGACAACAACACTTATTTTTCTAAATCGGCACATTCACGTATTTTATAGAAATTATTTTAAAT